GAATCTGAAAATTAGCACTGGCTCCTTGCCCCAGAAGAATGTGCAAATGCACAGCCACACAAATTTGCATCCTATTTCCCTAATTCCTGAAGCCAGGGAACTTCAGCAAGATTTCCTGCCCTGACTGGGTTCACATTAAGGGCAGAAACTGATATCTAATATGTGCTCAACAATGTGCTTTCCTTCATTATCTCTTTGATCCTTGGTGACCTCCCCATGAAGTAAGCACAGGTATGATCCCTTTTGGATGGGTGAGGAGACAAGGCTCAGAGACAGTGAGTTACTTGGCCAATGTCACAAGGCTAGTGAGTGACAGAAGGGGACTTAAATCCAGGCACTCTGAGGGTGAAGTGTGCATATTGCATGCATGCCTGGGCACTTCTGGTCAGCTTGGGGCCCAGCACTGAGTGGGTGCTTTGGAGACTTGTCCCAAGAGCAAAGGCTGGGGGAGGAGAAGCTGCTGGAGCTTTCTGTGCAGGGACTTAGAGATGTCAAAACCCGCTTTGTCTAATGGCTGTTTGCTTTCCTTCTTTCCCTTCCTTTTCCTTGTCCTCTTCTTCTTCCCCCTTCTTCCATTTTTGTTGAATAACAATATTTGATTTTCTTATAAAGAAGTCTTTCTGCCTTAGAAAGAGTCTTTTAAACATAGAATTGGAAATATACTGCTCTCTCTGTGACAGCTCACAATGAATACGCAGAGGCAGATCCACCTCCCCAAAGGGAAACTGGCTTGGGATTTTTCCGTTGGCTTTTGAAAAAAATTTATTTACTTTTTTTTGGACCAGGTAATGCATTCACAGGGTTCAGAAATCAAAAGGTACAAAAAGGTACACAGTGCAAGTCTCTCTCATTCCCCTGCCACCTGCCACCTTGTTTCCCTGCCTGGAGGCACCGAGGTGCCCCAGTTTCTTGTGTATCTTTCCAAAGATGTTTTATGCAAATATAGGCATATTAATTATATATATACATATACATATATATGTATACTTTTTTAATGGTTATTTTCTTAACCCTTGAGTTTCAGACACAGACTATAGTCTTCTGTCTCTTGTCTCTCTGGCTCCTGTGCACCTGTGCATGCCTCAGAACAGCAGAGGCCTGTGGGGATCCTGGAAGCACCAGGTTTTCCTGAGTTTCCAGGCCCATTTTCATGGAAGACCCCCCTACCCCCAACTGCACACAACTCTTTAGGCTCTTTTCAAAGTCCTTGCATCTGTGATAATTCATCAAGCGCTCACAATAGCCTATGAAGTGTAAGAATCATTTGCTCCACTTTAGGGGTAAGGAAACAGACCCAGAAAGGTCGAGTAACTTGCTGAAAAGCACACAACTAATGTCCTTGTGTGCTGAGGGCCTGGGAGCAGTGTGTGGCTTGGTCCAGCTTGGACTTTGGAAGCAATAAGAAAAGTTGTTTACTCCGAAGTCACAGTTTAAAAATATTTCAGTGGCACTAGGTGTGGGGTAGTGGAAAAAGTTAAGGAAACTTGCGGTTTCAGTTGGGTTTGCATCCTACCTCTGCCACTTGCAACGGGGCAAGTTCCTTCACAGTTTGTAGCCTCAGTTTGCTAATCTCTAAAGTGGGGATGATAATACTCACCCAGCAGGGTGGAGAGTGACATATTATAAAATAAAGCGGTTTTTAAAGTGGGGCATATTCCAATGCTTGCTTTGCATTATTATTATGGTTATTATGGCTGGTCCTTGCCTGCACAAAGGTAGCTGTTTCCTGAAGGGGGGCAGGGTCACACTGGGTACAAAGTTGCCCCGCCCTCAAGCCAACAAATCTAAAAAAAAACCTGCTCTGGCCTAGTGATTTGTAAATCAGGAGCCCTCCACCTGGACCAATCTTCTGAACCTCCTGGGTGGTTAGGAAAGCCCCAGGGTGCGAGCACAAACTATTCCTCAGTGGGTGTCTTGAATTTACTTTGATCTGGAACTTTCCCTGTAGATCGGTTCTTTTTCTTTTTTTTTTTAAGGTGATTTTCTCATTTACAAAACTAGAATGTGCTTAGTGGAGAAAATCTGGAAGATATTGGAAAGTAGAAGGAACAAAAATTAAACCATCCTTACACCTTCTTCCTCCACAGAAGCCTACTTTGGTTAATATTTTGGTGTGTTTCCCTTCAGTCTTTTTTACCCTTAGGCACTTATGATAATTCTTAGTAGAACAATTTTTTTTAAAGATTTATTGAGGTATAACTTATACTAAAAGCTGCGCATATTTAATGTGTACAATTTGATCACTTTAGACTTTATGGAGCAACTCTTAATCTGTCTTGCTGATTTTGTGAATGCTGTGTCCACCTTTGGGTATTTTAATTTTAATTTTTAAAAATTTGAAATGATTCCAGGGTGCTTTGGTGGCTCGGTCGCTTAAGCGTCTGACTTTGGTTCAGGTTATGATCTTGTGGTTCATGAGCTTGAGCCCTGCATCGTGGTCTGTGCTGACAGTGCACAGCCTGCTTGAGATTCTCTCTCTCACTCTGTCTCTGCTCTTCCCACCCCCCCAACTCCCTCTCAAAATAATAAATAAACTTAAAATAAACGATTCAACTTATTTTTAAAAATTTAAAATTATTCCTGGTTTTATCTATGGGATTATTTTTAGCCTAATTTTTAAATGATTTCTTTAATGTTTATTTTTGAGAGAGAGAGAGGAGTGCATGCACGCTAGGAGAGAAGGGGCAGAGAAAGAGGGGGACAGAGGATCTGAATCGGGCTCTGTGCTGTCAGCACAATTTCTTTTTTTTTTTTTTTAAATGGTCTTTTTTTTTTTTTTAATGTTTTATTTATTTCTAGGAGAGAGAGAGAGAGACAGCGTGAGCAGGGGAGGGTCAGAGAGAGAGGGAGTCACAGACTGAAACAGGCTCCAGGCTCTGAGCTGGCAGTCCGCACAGAGCCCGACGCGGGGCTCGAACCCACGAACCGCGAGATCATGACCCGAGCGAAAGTCGGACGCTTAACCAACTACGCCACCCGGGCGCCCAGTACAATTTCTGATACAGGGCTCAAACTCACTAACTGTGAGTTCATGACCTGAGCCCAATTGGGATGCTTAACCTACTGCACCACCCAGGCACCTCTAGCTTAATTTTTAAAACAGATTTTATTTTTAAATAATCTTTATACCCAACGTGGGGCTGGAACTCACAACCCTGAGATCAAGAGTTGCATGCTCCACCAATTGAACCATCCAGGCGCCCCTAGCCTAAAGTTTTCAACAAGAATCAGATAAAAAGGAATCCTGAAGGCCATTGAGGTGGTGCACTCTCAGGAACAGGCCTGGCCTCTGGGACGCCCAGTAGCAGGTCAGTTCTACAGCTTGCTCTGATGCTGTCAGTCAGAGGACGGGCTCAGACAGCGGCAGTTAGTTACGGTGAGAAGAAGGTGGCATTGGCTGTCCAGTGGAATAAAGTTCCTTTTTGTTCAGGTCTGTTCTCCTTGAAAGGAAAATGGAGCACTAGCATTTGGCCTTCACAGGAATTTGGGTGATGGCTTTGGACGTGGATCCCCTATAAAGGACTGGGATAGCCCTCCACCCCCACCCTCCGTAACCGGATTAAGCAAGCCTTTGAGACAACAAACCTTGCTGGGTGGTCTCTCGTAGGCTTGGAATTCAGACATCCCATTTTACCTTTCTTGGCCTCCCTCACCCCTAACTGTCCCATTCATGCCTCTCCCCTCCTATTTTTCTTAAAATCCCCCTTTTTTTGGGCATAGGTAAAACTGCCCTTAAGCTGAACGTGTATAATTAGAATAGAGAGTATTTGGATTGACTGGTATTCCCAGCCAACCAGGCGCCCCAATGCTCTTTAATAAAAGCTTGGCTATTCCCAACCCGGATACGTTCAAGGCTTTTTCCACTCCCTTCTGCGGAATGCCCACCCCCCTCTCCGAGGTCTGGAGAAATACAACTACGAGGCCAGGCTCAAATGTCATCCCCCCTTGAAACGCTCTGGGATGCTGTCCTAGCCAGGCGAGTGGCTCTTTCCTCAACGCTCCCATGCCTCTGGATTCATGCTGGTAGCAGAGCGTGAAATATGTCGGGATCTGGTTCTTTCCGTCCTCCTTTGCCCTGTCTGGGAGTTCCTAGATGGCCAGAATGGGGCTGCGTTCTTGTCTCCTATCCCAGTCCCAGGAGTGGAAAAAGCTTCATAAATATTTGGTGAATCAGATTATGAAATCATGACGTTTTGCTGTCCCTTCTACTTCAGCGCTTTCTCTCTGGTTGTTCCCCATCCCCATTTTGTCACCTTTACTCCCTCCTACCCCCAGATTACAGTAACAATTGTATCGCATTACAATCAAGTGTGCTGATTATCTACACCTGACAGGGAAGTAGCCTCACTATCCATCAAAATGTGCCTCCTTAGATCTGCAAGCCGCCTACACTTCTCATCCCTGAAGGGCTCCCCAGGAGAGGACTAGCTCCTCCCCAGGGGGCCAGTGGGTTGCTGTGCCTGTCTTCCCTTGAGTCCTGGATGGGCCCCTGGCACAGAACAGCTTGGACCTTTTGTCTGCAGGACTTAGAGGGGACACAGCAGTTCCTCAGGGAGGAGTCGGGGATCCAGCTCGCAGAGTCAGCTTCCCAGGCTGGGCCAGTACAAACCCTGGAAGCACAGGGTTATTCTTGATCCTTAGGTGAAAAGAATTGCCCAGAACTATGTGCATTGTCAGGGGCACTTTACAATGAGGACGATGGGACAAAGATGTAGGTTTTCCAAGATTTTATTAAAAAACAAAATAGATCCATAATCCTAAAAACAAGACAGGTAGATTTCTCCCCACTTCCCAGTCTGCTGACCCATCCCCCTCCCCTAAAGACTCCATCTGGATGGTCCTGAGGCGCAAACTCCCCCACCCCTCAAACTGGTGACCCAAGCTTCACGCTTTCCTCCAGCCTCTGATGTCCCCTTTAAGAAAATAAAAATACCCCTCCCCAGCTTGCTTAAAAATAATTTTCAAAGATTAAAAACGGCATTTGTGTGTTTTTGTTTTTGTTTTTTTTTAAAAATAAACACTTTAAATGCTGGAAATCTCTCTCTTCCCATAGGCCTAGTTGAGGCCTCTGGGGTGCCTGCCTGCCTCACCCAGGAGGCCAGCTGCAACTTGGTGCCCCTTGGAGATTTTCAGGAAGTAATTTCTTCCAAATTTCCCCTGCAGTCACAAATTCCACACACTGCTCGCATAAACACGCTGTCTTCATTACAGCCACTGCTCCTCAGCTCTGGAAACCTGATCTCTTTTTGTCAACTATACCACATGCTTCAGATTCCCTGCAAACAGGAGAGAAAACAAAACTCAAAGTCAGGTAACATACGTGAGTTATACCTCGATAAAGCTGTTTGTTTTTTTTTTTAAAGCATTCACATTTGAGGGCTTGTTCTCTTTCTGCTGTTGGGAACACAGGGACCCCGACATACAAACAAGCCCAGGCAAGCCTGCTGGATGGTGAGAGACACGTGGCTCGGTTACCCTGGCGACCACCAGTTACCCACCAGACAAGTGGGTGAGGCCTTTGGTAGCCAGCTGACTGCAGTGCAGGGTGAACCCTGCCAAAACCAGCAGAAGAATCACCCAGCTGAGCCCAGCCCCATTGCCAATCCACAGAGTCATGAGCTAAACAAATGATTATTTAAGCCCCCCCTCCCCCCAAACTCACACACAAATTCAGGCAACTTTTCAGAATTCACACTTCACTAACTGCATCTAGTCTTCACCCACCCTCAAAATTTCTTCCTGGCTTAGCAGGGCATAACACTTCTAGCAGTTTCTCTTGTGATGACCTATGAAATATGAATTGGGGCCTTGCCACGACCTCCTCCCCCACTCAGGCCTAAGAATCTTTTAGGGAAAAGTGAGCACTTGAAATCCTACAGGACTGAGCTCCGGGTTTGAAAAATTTGCTCACTTAGTCTCTCCACAGCTTTCTTTTTGCCCCACTTTCCCAAGCAAACGCTGAGCTCCAGACACTACTGACAGCTTCTCCTCTGAGACAGGAAGAATGTCCCATGAGGGCAGGTACCTGGGCTGTCTTACTTAAAAAAAAAAAAAAAATTTTTTTATGCTTATTTATTTTGGATAGAGAGAAAAAGTCAGAGTGTGAGCAGGGGAGGATCAGAGAGAGAGGGAGACACAAAATCTGAAGCAGGCTCCAGGCTCCAAGCTGTCAGCACAGAGCCTGATGCAGGGCTCAAACTCATAAGCTGTGAGATCATGACCTGAGCTGATCACAACCTGGTTAACCAACAGAGCCACCCAGACACCCCTGTATTACTGTTTATTTATTCATTTTGAGAGAGAAGGAGGGAGAGAGAGATAGGGAGAGAGAGCAAGAGAGAGCTCTCATGCTGTCAGCACAGAGCCCAACACAGAGTTTTATCCCATGAGCCATGAGATCATGACCTGAGTTGCAATCAAGAAGAGTCCGAACCGTAACCAACTGAGCCACCCAGGCACCCCTGGGCTGTCTTACTTTTGATTGATCTCCAAAGTCTAGCACATTGCCTCACACATAGCAGGTGCTTAATAAATGGCTGAGTTAGGAAGGAAAGAAAAAACAAATCAGTACCCACTTGCCTATCCAGATTTATTTATTTATTCATTCATTCATTCATTCATTCATTCGGTTTTTGTTTTTGTTTTTAGAAATTTCTACACCCAATGCAGGCTTCAAACTCACAACCCTAAGATCAAGAGTTGCATGCTCTTCTGACTGAGCCAGCCAGGCACCCCTCTAGTTTTATTTCTAACTTAACATATAAGAAAATTGATTTGGGGCGCCTGGGTGGCTCAGTCGACTAAATGTCCGACTTTGGCTCGTGTCATGATCTCACGGTCCATGAGTTCGAGCCCTGAGTCGGGCTCTGTGCTGGCGGCTCAGAGCCTGGAACCTGCCTCGGATTCTGTGTGTCTCTTTCTCTACTCCTCCCCTGCTTGTGCTCTATCTCCCTCTCAAAAATAAACATTAACAAATTTTAAAAAAAGACAGTGTTTAACCTTTTATGATTGGCTTCTTTCATGCAGCACACTGCCTTTGTGTGTTATGCAACTTTTAGGTGTATCAACAACTTATTCCTTTTTGGGGGGTACTTAACTTTCAAATTTTTTGATTATTATAGATTTATCGGAAAAAATACCAAGAGGTACTCTTCAAAAAGTTTCTCCAAGTGGCAACATCTTTCATAATGATTATTTAAATATCAAACCCAGGAAATTGACATTGGTACAATTCACAGACCACATTCAGATTTCACCAGTTTTACATGCATACCTGTGTGTGTGTGTGTGTGTGTGTGTGTGTGTCTGTAAATGTACAGTTCTCTGCAGTTTTATCACATGTAGATTTGTGTAATCCCTACCACAAGAAGATACAGAACATTATCCCATCACTATAAAGATTTCCCTCATGGTACCTTGTTACAGTAACTCCCCCCTAATCTCTAAACCCTAACAATCATTAATCTGGTTTCCATTTCTATAATTTTGTATATGACCTTTAGAGATGGGCTTAAATTTTTTTTTATATATTTTTATTTATTTCTAGGAGAGAGAGAGAGAGAGAGACAGCGTGAGCAGGGGAGGGTCAGAGAGAGAGGGAGACACAGGCTCTGAAATAAGCTCCAGGCTCTGAGCTGGCAGTCAGCACAGAGCCCGACGCGGGGCTCGAACCCACGAACCGCGAGATCATGACCTAAGGGAAAGTCGGATGCTTAACCGACTAAGCCACCCAGGCGCCCCAAGGGCTTAAAATTTTTTTAAATGCTTACTTATTTTTGAGAGAGAGAGAGAAAGAGAGAGAGAGAGAGAACACATGAGTGGTAGAGGGCCAGAGAGAGAGGGAAACACAGATCCAAACCAGGCTCCAGGCTCTGAGCTATCAGCACAGAGCCTGATGCAGGGCTTGAACTCACAAACTGTGAGATCATGACCTGAGAGGAAGCTGGACGTTTAACTGACTAAGCCACCCACGCACCCCTGAGATTGGTTTTCCTCACTCAGCATACGGCCCTTAAGAGCCATTCAAGTTCTTGTACGTTAAGTTTGTTCCTTTCTACTGTAGGGTAGGATTCCATGGTCTGGATACACCAGAGTGTGCAACACCCATTGAAGGGCATCTTCATGGTTTCCAGTTTGGGGCTATTACACATAAAGCTGCTATGGACGTCCATGTAGAAGTTTTTGTGTGAACATAGTTTTCATTTCTCTGGGATAAATGCCCACAAGTGCAATTGCTGGATCATATGGTAGTTGCATGTTTGGTTTGATAAGAAACTATCAAACTATTTTCTAGACTGGTCATACCATTGTGCATTTCCACCAGCAGTGTTTAAGGGATCTAGTTTCTCAGCATTTATGTCAGCATTTGGTGGTGTCACTAGCTTTTAATTTGGCCATTCCTATAGGTGTGTAGAGATCTTTCACTGTGGTCTCAAGTTGCATTTTCTTAATGGCGAATTATGATGAACATCTTTTCATGTGCTTATTTGTATTCTGTATATCCCCTTCAGGTCTTTTGCTGATTGGATTTTTTTCTACTGTTGAGTTTGGAGAATTCTCTAAATATTCTAGATGCAAATCTGTCATTAGATTCGTTATTTGAAAATATTTTATCTCAATATGTAACTTGTCTTTTTGTTCTCTTAACTGTTGCAAAACAAAATTTATTTTTTTTTATCACATTTCTGGTGTTTTAAAACCCTAGACTCATCATCTCTGGATAAGTTTTAATTCTTCATCTCTTGGTTCAAGCCTCCACATCTAATGAGTTGCCAAACCTAATCTCAAGATTCCTGTAACTCTGTCCTCTCCTTTTTTAAAAAAATGTTTATTTATTTATTTTGAGACAGAACTATAAGGAACAAGCAGGGGAGGGACAGAGAGAGAGAGAGAGAGAGAGAGAGAGAGAGAGAGAATCCTAACCAGGTTCTGTGCTTTCAGCTCAGAGCTCGACGCTGGGCTCAAACTCATGGACTGCGAGATCATAACCTAAGCTGAAGTCGTTCACTTAACCAACTGAGCCACCTAGGTGCCCCCTGCCCCGTCTTCTCCTTTCTATTCCACTCTCCCCAACTTAGTTACATCTCTTATCACTCAGGTCACTTCAATAGCCTCTTAACTGCTGCCCCGCCTCTGGAGCTGTTCCGCACACCATTGGTAGCTGTGTTCACATGCCTCCTCTGCTCCAAAAATCCTTCAGCAGCTCCTAATTACCTATGAATGAGGTCCAACATCTTAGCTTAAATTTACCTCATCCATACTTTCCCATCTCCATGTGGGCCTTTGCTTGTATTGTTGCCTCTGCTGAGGAAAACCTATAGGGGATTCTGATGCTGAAGCTAAGGGTCCTTCCATCTGTAAGTGTAGCCAGAGCTTGATGAATGAGTGAATGCATGGATAAACAAAATTTCATGTCTGGGTGCTGTATTCTCTGCTGTTCTGTCTCACTCTCCAGTTACATTTGGAGGCAATTAAGAAAAACAACAGAAATAATTTCCACCAAAAGTTGATGATGAGCAATATTGAGTTTGGGTAACAATAAAAATGTAAGCTTAAATAATGCCCATTGTTTCCTCCTCACATCTAGCTTTTCCAGCAGTGGGTGGCAGCCTGAGAAAATTCTAAAGGCCAGCATGGTTTGGGGCCTGGGGAGACAGAGTACAGACCAGAGGAGGCAAATGCAAATGCTTATAGAGGTCAAAGATGTACTGTATGTGAGTAAAGCATATTGGGGGCAAGACATATGGAGCTTTCTTGATCCTTTGTTCCTTTTCTTATTTTCAATCATGACCTGAGTATAAGCAATAGTTCCCTTTTTTCTTAACTCTATTACAAAAGAAAACAAAATAAAAACATTGTATGTGAGATGATAAATGGAAATTCACACTTGGCCTATGGTAGGAGATGCAACAGGGAATGGTGGGGTTTGTGGCAAAGAGGAAGGTACATATTCACAAAAGAGGCAGCTGCTACCCAGTCCCACACATTTACTACTGAGCAAGAAGTTTGGCCCAGTGTGACCAGATATCTCCATTTTTCCAAGAGAGATCAAAAATTTACATTTTTAAAAAGTTTATTTATTTTGAGAGACAGACAGAGAGAGAGAGAGGCAGAGATAGAGAGAGAGAGAGAGAGAGAGAGAGAGAGAGAGAGAGGAGAGGGAGAGAGAATGAGAGAATCCCAAGCAGGCTTCATGCTGTCAGCACAGAGCCTGATGTGGGGCTTGAACTCATGAACTGCGAGATCATGATCTGAGCTGAAATCAAGAGTTGGATGC